TCAGTTTGAACAGGTCTCTGAGCAACCTGATCTAGTTGAAAATGTCCCTGCTCACTGCAGAGGGGTTGGAGCAGATGACCTTTAGATGTCCCTTCTGACCCAAACTCTTCTATAATTCTATGAAAAGAATAATGTTGAAGATGTTTGCTGCAATGTTCTTGCTAGAGTCCCTGAGAGTTTGGCCTCCTAAGGAAGCAGGAGATTAAAGAGTTCAAAGAATTTTAGTGGGCTGGACAATCTTTTGCAAATTGGCATATCTGAGGAGCAGTAACTTCTGCTAGACCTCAAGGGCTTAATGGTTCCTGGTAAGAAAGCCTTCAGAGAGATGTCCCAAAGCATACAGGGATTCATGGTCAGGACAATATATCTGAAGACCTGTGTTCCTGGGGATAGTTTTAACAATTTAAAAGCATAAGTTCTTATGTCCAGACATGCTTGAGTTGCTAATAGAAGAGAAACCAAAGTGTGTTGACTTGACAAATATGTGAAACCTATGAGAAGGTCTGAGAACAAAGCCCTGGAGGGACAGTTCACTGAAAAGAGGACAAAATAGAGAAGTAGGTGTCCCTGATATGTGACTTCACTGGAAGAGATAGGAGCAATTCAGACCTAATTTTATTTTAAAATATAATAATAAAAAATGCAGCAAATAGTTATATAAGCAGTTTTAGTAGCATGAAATCAGTGCCTGCAAAATGCAGCTGCAGCTGTGGGTGATGCTACAAGGGGCAGCAAGGCCCCTTAGCTGTGGCAATTTTGAAGCACAAGGATTTTCTCACCCTGGGAACTTGGTGGCTCTTTGGTGATTCATTGTAGTATCTGAGAATTGAGGGATCCGTCCTAAGAGACTGAATGCTAAGCTGAATCTCTGTGAATATTTTTCAGTGACTTCTCTCTATATGAGCTTTAATTTCAACATAAATTTTAAAAATATTCCATGAACTGACCAATTCCCAGTTTCACATTGTATACTACATATAGCTGCTTGGTTAAACTCTGCAATAGCACTGTAAGAAAATATTTCATGAATACTCTGCGTTCTGCTGAGTGGTTTAACTGAGTAAACACACATTTTTGTTAAACATTGTTAATTATTTAAAAAGAATTATATTTTTTAATCATTCTTTCTGTGAGTACGAAGGGATACTAGGATTTTCCTTCTGTAAACTAGTTTTCTGGAGGTAGATTAAGATAAATTTACATATTTCACAGAAGCTAATTGCAGACAACTTTCTGTCCTGTGGAGCTATCAACACTTCATCAATGTTTTCTAACTATTTCCAAAGGGCCAGCATGCTGGGCAGGAGTTTTCTCACTGAAATATAAGAGAATGATGAGAAGTGGAGCTGAGTGTGGGGTGAAGAGTTACTTTTAGCCATGACTATTTCCTCAGAAAGAGGTACTCAATATAGCCTAAATGTATATCTTTGTGATTAAGGCAGCCTCTCTTGATAGAAATTAATAGAAGTTAGCCCATATCACTGCTATAGAAAGTAGGCTAATATGAAAAAACGCACCTCTTTTCTTGAGGCATCCTCAAAGTTGTTACCTATTTCTTACTACATTATTTTTTGAGAAAAGGGCATCAACTGACGGGAAAAATTCCAGGGTATGTGTTCCAGGTGCCAGATTCAAACATCAATTTATCTTACCTGGACTGCATGAATTTTTTTATTATTTGTATCAAAGAAGGAAACTATGCAAATATAATAAATATAGGTATAATGTGGCTCAGAAAAGCAAGCTCTATGCAAAAACCTCATGGGTGTTCTACAAGTCAGGTACAATTCAATAATATAAAAATGTTTACTGAAAGAAACTGATTTCTTGTTTATAATAAGGTCTAAATTATTGTTCCTGGCAACCTTCTTTCTACTGGAGGAAAGAACCAGAAAATACTTTTAGGGTTTATCAGTTTCTTTCTTATTCTGCCTTCATCAGGAACTTAAAAGGGTACAGAGTCAGACTACATTTTCAATTCATCTTTTCTTCACAGTGAGGAGACAAAAACTGTACATTCCTAAACTGTGCTGATGTACGCACATTTATTGGTTGTCTATATTGGATGCCAGAGATGAATCTGTGTGAAGATATCAACAAGCCGTAGGTGGATTCTGGTTCTGACTTATTTGAAGAAAAGTTTTGATGAACTAACCATTCCTTAATTCAAAATGAATCATGGGACATTAGTGACACCCTGGGAGGTGTGCTAATGACAAAATAGAACAGATGAATATGGGTAGTGTGTACAGCATTACAATAAAATCACTCTGGTCAACAAATGGGAAATCTGAACCAGCAAAACATATTTTCATGTTAATTAGGGAAAAGAAACCAAACCAGATATTTTAAATATTTATTTGTCAGACTGGGATAACAGTCTTTATACAGCACAATTTGCATAAATTCTCAAGATACATCCTGTATACAGTCACAAAACCATGACATGGATTTATACATAAAGTGAAAACTGAGACAGATTTACAGGCATTTTTATACAATTCTCATACTGCTTTTGTTTCAGTTTTTACAACTTTTAGAATAAGTCTGTATTTTTTTTTTTCCTGATGAATCTGGAAGCAAAATGAAAATTAAAAGAAATTCAAACGAAAATGAGTATCAACAAACCACCATCTATGCATGCAACATTCACTGTGGAAACATTACATTTCTCCAAGGACTAATCCTTTTTTTTTGTGTGTTTTTTGTGGGGTTTTTGGTGTTTTTAGATTTTTTAAAACATTGGGTATGCTGTACATGTTGTCTGTAGCATGACAGCACACACGCGAGTCAGCCATTGTTGAGCAACTGAGCACATCACTGAACATCTATAAGATACAATCAAATAAGGACACATTCACATGCTTGGATGTCAGATGGAGTTAATATTTTAAACTCAGATTGTTTTACAAAAATGCATACTTATTTACAGGGTAACAAATTAAGAAAACGGCTTTCGCTCAAATAATCTATTTTGAGATATGGATATCTATATATATATTTTAACTTTTGAGATCAATATATTTGCTTATTAATCTTTTCAAAATAATAAACCAGAACATATAGAAAACATTAAAATGCTTCTTATGATTTAAAGAGAGAGTATCCGGTTTCACTTATTCTTTCTATTTTCCTTCTAAAGGCAAAATGTATTCATAAAGAGCAAGTGGTCCTACATGCCAGGTGTACCAAAAATTCACAAGGCATGTAGGACTAAGTTTTAAATATAATGTAGGTGAATACTTACACTAAAATTCCTCTCTGTTTAATTACCTTTATAAGTTACACTCACACAAATGCAAATTTTCTCTGTTATTCACATAGGTATGTACATATCTAGATATATACTCAAATAATGAAATCTGGGACATTCAACATTCTAGCAATGAAAATAAGGTACTTAAAAATAGTGTCAGTTATGATTCAAATAATAATTTAAAAAAATACTATTAATATCTTTATGATATCTCCATGAAACTAAATCCTAATTAAATAATCTCTATTGGGCACACACTAGCTTGCAATATAATAGATGTCTTCTTTTTCTTCATCATCATCCTCAAAGTAAGAAACAATATCAGCTGGTTACCAGCTACCATATCCCACAGCCTAACCATGCGAACACCTAGCATCCAGAAAAATGACTCCAGTATTTCCTAGGTCTTGATTTAAAGCCAGTTTAAGTCAACAGATTACTTGTTATTGACTTCAGATGGTTCAGATTGGATTTTTGTTTCTTCCACACAGGATCCATATAATGTAAAAACATGGGTCATAATAAAGAAGCAGCACTCACTGCCCCTGGATACTATCCCTTTAAAGTGTAATGATAAAGAACTAGCTCAACATTCATCATAGAAACTCTCATGTCTAGTTTTAACCTGGAAAAAAAAAAGTGTCTGCTTGCTGCTCATTGTATGCATAATAATAATAATGATAATGTTAGAAATCCCTGTCATTTGTAAACACACACACTGTGCTTTTGCTCATTTTTCAGCTTGTTTCCACTACACAAGGCCTTGAACAAAGAAGCAGCTTCGAACTGTGTTGACTCAGCAGATTTATGAATAAAAAATGTTTAAATACCTCTGCTATTACCTCTCTGCAACATGTGTCTTGAAAGCATTCATAGAAATATGTGAACTCATTAATAATCAATCAGTCAGAAATGATAAAAGCTGTTGCCACATCCAAGCACTTTTGGCCAGATAAAAGAAACAAAAAATAATGAGAAAAAAGTGAAAAAAATATACCGAGATATATACAAAAAAGTAAAAAAATACTAATAGTCCTTGTTTGATTATTTTTTAAAAAACATTGTCACAAGACTTCATTCATAAAAGAAGAAAAAAAATGAAAAAAATGCATTCAAACATGACTTTGTGTTGCATAGAGTGATTCCAGTACAACCTAGAAATTTGGTCAAAAAAGGAACTTGGCACACTTTGAAAGCATCCTCTGACCTCCGAATGGTGCTGCCTCAGAAAAGAGGGAGTGCGTGGGCCCAGGTCTGTCACTAACCCATCCTGGGTGACACCAAAGGAGCCCTGTCCTTGCTGCAGCTGGCCAAGACAGTGCCACATTCCTGACAAACTCTACTCTTTGCATTTTACGATAGGAGTCCAAAACTGCCATTTCAACATGCAGAAACATTTTGTGTGTTGTTCAGAGAATCAAAGATGCTTGATTTAAACCAGTTGTTGACAGCTGATTACCCCACAAAGGTAGCTGTTCCATACAGCTGCAGCTATACTACCCAACACAAATATTTCATAAAAATATTGACCACATTTGTACGTGTGTGAGAAAAAAACATGCCTGTCCGCTTTCTCAATTAAGAGTGATGATTACAGGCTTCCCAGTAAGGCAGCCAGACAGTGCTTGTTCCTGCTGGAAATCTCCATAGCAACTTCCAGCGTGACTTGCTGTCTTTATAATAAATCTTAGCAAGAACAAAATTACCAGCAGTTTGCACAAAATTGCACACCTCATGGCTTATACTTCACACAGTAATTGAAACTGGACTTTTTTTTTTTTTTTTTTTTTGTCATTTTTTTCAAAGAAATAACACATTATAGCCATCAGGAATGCAAAATAACCCACCAAAAGAGTAACACATACATCAAATATATCCACATAGGACTTTTTGGTTTGATTGGGGATTTTTTCTTTGAAGTATTTATCTTCTTATAAAAACATACACAACATCAAAACATATAGGATGTTTACAATAACTCCAGAGGACTGGCTTTAAAATATATGAGAGGAAGGGTATACATATACTGGTGAAAGCATAAAATTCAATATTAAAGCACACATCTTACTTCCACTGTCAGTGATATGTTTTTAAGATAGCTGATAAGATTTTGGTAAAATTGCTCTGCTTACTCATTAAGCAGGCTACGAACAGGTTATCAATAACTTAACAGGAGTTTTCTTGGTGTGTAGCATTAATTCTTCTGTGTTTTTCTTCTCATATTCCTTTTCCATGCTGTTATTTTATGTAGACAAAGATAAATCAAAAACTGTATGTGGGAAGTGTCACCAAATTAAATGGTGTAGCTTTTTCAAGGTTAGTCCAGATTCTGAATAAACTGAGCCTTATTTTTCCTTTTCTTTAGTGTATATATTATTTTCCAGAAGAATATTTTCAGTTGGTCTTGCACAACCTGTGGAAGTGTACTACATATATTCAGAAAATATAAGAAGATGTACATTAAATAATATGTGAAAAGTCCTTATTAGGAAGGAAAAATAAATGTCTGAAGGGCAGAATTTTGGTCATTTTCTTTCTAAATATTCAAAGGTCATGAGGTAATATTTCCAGGGAAACTACTTTTTAATGAAGTGGTGAAATATTAGGTGACTTCTGAGTAACATGGGAGTTAGTTCCATATTGATTCTTGGTTTTTAAAGAAACCGCTATACTTTTATGAATGGGAGAAAAGACTGTCCCTTCTTCAAAAATGGTACAAGGGAAAATACAACAACCAGCCTAAGCTATCTTCCCAAGATTCTTCACAAGTGAACTAACTGCTCAGCTTCAAGCCCCTGGAAGTGGGACTTCAAGCATGGAAGTGCTGACACAGTTTTAAATGCTGCAAATTACCTTCCTATTTACTTCTTTCCTAACTGAGAAGCTATGCTGTTGAGTGGATTATATTCAGACATTCACTTGAGATAGCAAGAGGATATTCTTAATTCTCTTTAATACAACAGCCCTGCTATACCTTCACTTTAGATTTCAAGTGTGTCACTGGTGTTGATACAGAGCCCTGCACCAAGCCGGTTGCTGTTAACATGGTAGGTATACTGCTCCAAAGTGCCCACAAAACATAGTTTCAGAATAAGACTTGTTGCTGAAAAACGAAAGGTCTAATTAACGTAATTGTGTCAGTCCCAGTGCTTAAGTCTCTTCAATTCCAAACTTTTTCAAAACTGCTGATTCAAAGTGTAGGGTGAAGTAGTGTCACTGACATCGAAACAGCAATTTTTCTTCCTGATGTAGTGCAGATTACATCCTGCCCTTTCTCTTTAAAACCACATCCCAAATTATAGACCATAAATATAGTTTTATCCATTACATTCTAGGACAGTGGTTTATATTCATTGTTAACACACAGAAGCAAATGAAACAATTAGATCTGATTCTCCACAGCATAGTTTTTGAAGGAAAAAGAAAGAAGGAAAAAAGTAATGTAAAATAACATTACCACTCTTGCAAACGTCTTGAAGTTTGTGTCAAGTGGCATAATCTCACTACAGCAAATTATCAGAGATCCTAAGGTGCAGAGGAACAAGTTTTGCACTTCTGATAAGTGAGATTTGGAAAGTCAGTAACCCTAGGTACTTTTGCATAAAATGATCTCCTTCTGGTTGCACAGAAAACCAGACTGCTCTTTCCATCACACTACCTCCAGCTGCAGCCGAACTCTGCATTAACACCTGCCTTCCAGCCTTCATTATTTCCTTCACAGTTACTCTCTTCACAAAGAGTTCAACAACACGGAGCCCTCATATCAGTCTTCATTTCAAACAGCCTCACTTTAACTTCTGGGCCCACGTTTTCTTTTACTTTGCTGTCTTTTGCAGCAAAACAAGTGTACTAGCCCTCATTTAAGTGTGCTATGTAGCCCAGAGACTGCTCTTTTCTACTTTGTATTCTGAAAGACTAGCTAAACACAATGATATCAAACTATAGTCTTGGAGTGATGCTGTTTATAGCAGACTCTGCAGGTTTTGTGCCCTAAGCAGACAGCTCTGCTCAGTGTGTTTGTGTGGAGCTGACCAACAGTTTGTGCCAGTTTACTATTCTTTTCCTTAGATCCACTTTGTCAAGCCAGATATAAGCTTCCCCAATCAGTGTCTTTTTCATAAACTTCCCTCCATTGGAGACAAGCAGAATCTGGGAAAATACATAAATAAAAAAATAATAAAACATAATTATAATTGTGCATGTAATTATCATTGTGCATATTAACATATACTGCATTTGCTGGCAAACATGAAAGATTCAGAAGTGTTGAGCTGTTTTGGTACCCACAGAGGAGGAAAAAACCACTAACCATAACCCTTTATATAGAGTCATCTTTCCAACAGAAAGGAAGCCCTGTGAAAACTAAACCTTCCCTCTTTTATTTTATCACGGGATGTATCAACTAGATGACAGTCTTGAACTTCAGTTAGCAATTTGTTCACCTGCTGGTTACCAAAGACAAACACAAGGTCAAATTTTAAGTTACAGAGTGAAGCTTTATGCAGGCAGAATCCCAGCCCTTCTTAAGTGCATGGGAGTCAGAGGGTACCCTGCACATAGGTGGTAAGTCAGGGCATACTAGTGTGTGAAAAAGTACAGAGTTCTGGTTTCTGACCCGAGCAAGCAGTAGTCTAACCTAAAATATAGTGGTGGTCTGAAATCTCACTCCTGCTATGACTCTGCTGAGAGCCACAGTATTGCGCCTGGTCTTACAGCTCTTGTTTGCCCCAGCCATGGAGAGTGGAAGAGCAAGGAACAGCCCGGCACTTATATGAGCTATGCAGGCTGTGTGTTTGACACTCTCCCTCATATATCATACAGGCAAATGTTTTCCAGCTAAGCGGGTTCATGCCATGCAAGCAATAGACTTTTCTGAAGGTCTTGATTCATTCTATGGATCTATAGGTTCATTCTATGTCTTTCTGGGAAAAATACATATACTTCAGGGAAGAGTTATAGTTACACATTCAGATAAATTGTATCATTTCTTAATTATTGAGTAACTGAATTAACAAGGTCAATGCTTCTTTTCTTATTATTATTTTTATATAATCAACTTCCTAAGTTTTTCAAAAAGAAAAAAAAAAAACCTCATGAAAAATTGCATTTCCATTATAGGATTAGCAGCAAGTTTGTAGTAGTCACAGAGCAGACCTCCAGCAATGAGCAAGGGAGGTAACTGATAACAACAGAAAGCTGTCACCCTCTGTGTGAACCAGCAGGAGAAAAAAATAGGGCATTTTGTTGCTTGGTTTCAAAGATTTGGTTAACAGAAGAATGGCAGAACTCAAGATGATTCTGGAAGAGACCATACAGCTAGAAGAGTCCATACAGCAGTAGACGTGTAACAGAACTGTAGAAAAACGAGAGTTTCACTAATCAGGAACTTCAACATTTTTGAAAATTTTCCATTCTGATTTGGGAAACAAAGCGGAAAATGCAAACTTTACATTACAATAGAAATATTTATTTTAAAAAAAAAAAAAAAAAAAGGGAAGAAATTTTCCATAAAGTTCCTGGATGAGCTTCCCAGTTCACTGGCCAATTTGGATATCAGTTGGCAAGTAAGGTATGTACCCAGACAGCTTAGACACCTACATGCCCATCAGTCAACAAGTTTGAGGAGAGAAAACCAAATGACTCTTAGGCACTGAGCTGTTAGGGAACCCCAGTCCACACATCAGAAAGCCCATCCTTGGGGAAAATAATCAGCCTGACTCCAATGATGGTGACTTTCTAGGTCACTTGTTTCAGTGTTTCCTGAAGAAACAGACAGCCCAGAAGCTGGCAAGACAACCAGAACATCTGTGAAAAACATTCTTCTGGATTTTTATGATTACCCTCACAGAGGATATTCTGTATGTCTAATTACAGCAAGCCAATTAGCCAGAGGCCAGCTAGGGAACAAGGTGAAGGACCCAGGAGTTTATTACTTTCCAGGGGGGTCCCAGGAGGGTTGCCAAGGAACAGGGAATCAGGAAAGTGAGCAAGCAAGCTACCGGGGGCTGAGGCAAGTGCTTCTCTGAAACCTGTCAAAATGTTTTCTGCAGAATGTTTGCATTCTGACACATCAACAGTTTTGGGACAGAAAAAATTTCTAACAAATTCTTCATCACTTCTGTCGTTGATCCTTCTCTCCATACCTCCCAGCTGGATCGCTAGTATCTGTCTTCTCTAGCTTGTCTTTCTCTCAGCTTTGTTTCTTCCACACTCCAGGCTTTACATTCCAGACCTTTTTATCCTGAATCAGCTAGTCTCAGTTTCTAATCTTCAGGTTTGGTTTTTTTTTTTCCTTATCCTAAATGCTCTTGAGCAGAAAATTCTAGCTTTTCTTTTCTTCTCTCTCTCTTTTTTTTTTTTTTTCTTTTCCTTTTTATTTTTTTTTCTTTTCCTCAATAGCCCATGGTCCCATTTTTATAGCTCATGTTCACAGATATTTCTGTTCATTTTTAGAGTGCAGGACCTTGTCCTAATCTGCCTCCAGTTGCTTCTCATGTCTCTTTACATGCACCTTCTGTGATTAACATGTTTGCTCTCATCTTACTCCCTCTCTCTGATTTTACTTCCTCCCTTAATCTCCCAATTCCATTTCTGGTCTGTACATTCTGGTTTTGTTTCAATTCCCTCTCTCCCAAATCTCTTTTGACAATGTCCATCTCCTTGCCCTTAAATGTTCATCACTCAAATTCAGCATTCAAATTGGCCAGCTTCATGCTTTGTCATAGGAACAATTGATAAATATGAAGAGCATATAAAAACAGATGTACTGAGTCAGATTGAAGATCTCTCCAGGCAAATATTCTGCTTCCAAAAGTGTATAGGATGGTGTATAAGGACAGAATATAAGAACAGGGAAATCATGTAGTGACACTTTCCCGAAATACCTACTATGATCTGTGGACCATTGACTTCCTGATTTACAAGTGGTATGTTTGTATTTAACAGACTGCAAGGTATTTTGCCTATGAATTTGTCCAGTCATTTTCTCCAGTTACTTTTTCCATTAAAATATTTAGCATCCACAATATATTATGGCAATAAATTTTATAGTTCATACTCCAAGTTGTGTGAAGACGAAACACCTTTTTTTTGTTTTAAACTTGTTCCTTGATACTTTTACAGGATTTGTTCTCTTAGGTCTGGTGTGCAGCACCAGTACACATGACAGAGTTTCTGAGGAAATGTTGCCAAGGCTCAGGCTGACTGTTCCCATGGCTACCTCCCTCACTATCTCCCTTCTTAAGAACTTGATGTCTTATTTTTTCATAGGGCGCTGTGGGTTCTTTATTGGTCTACTATCCCCTTATGGTTTCCTCTTCCCACCACCACTGGAAGCAAAGTTTTTACACAAATTTCAGCTCTTAAACTTTGGCACAACTTCATTGTCCATTCTGGATTTTCCCATATAATATAACATCTGAAATAGTCTTTTACTGATTCTACTGAATCAATAAGGATGTTAGGACACTTTAACACAGGCAAAACAGAATCTATTTTTGTTGGCCTTGTTTTTTAAACAACATCAGTTTTGGCTTTAATTTTGATGATACAACCAATAAGCCTAACATAGGCACTTAGAAAATCCAGTCTGACTTTAACCATCAAAATATAACTGGCTTGTTTACATCAGTATTCCAGATTTAAAGGAACATTAAGTGGATGCTGGTATGCCCAACAATTCCTCCCACTTACTTTTGAGATTAGCATGAAGATACCCCAGGAATTGTCAATACCTCTCCACTAACTAGGGTAAAACTGAATTATATTAGGCTTATATTAGTTGTCTACTCATGTGAAAGTAAATGAAGATAGGTGAAGTGAATCCTACCCATCTGAAAAAGAAAATCTGACCAAATTGTCAACTTTCTCTAAGCACTAAAACACAGGAGAGGGACTACTTCTGAAAATACCGTCATCTCCTTTAGAAAAGTACACAGTGCTGGGGCCAGAGTGTTAACAGTAAGAAATGTTTATCAGAAGATATGAAGGACACACTGTCCTTGAAGCAGGGAAGTTGGTTAAAGTTATGAAAAGCAGGACGCTGAACAGGGATGTGCTTACCGCAAAAATGCTGAAGTATTGCAAAGTATGCAAAACATTGTTATCCAAGCAGAATGTATGTTATGCTTGTGTTTATCGCGTGAACAGTAGTAATAAGCCAATGAGCTTGCTTGACAAGGCGCGTGCTTGCATTAGGACATTATAAAAAGAGAACATTTCACGGAATAAACCGAAGCTTATTTACTCATCATATTGATGTGTCTTGCTTCCCCGTCTTCGGCCGCGGCAACACAGAGCATATTTGACTTAACATAATCAGTAATTCTGTGATATCTGAGATTATGATTGTTGTGTCTAATTCTAGGCACCAAAACATTTAAAGAAGTTGAGGAACTGGAGGAAATGATAAAATGATTAGGCATTTAGGCAACAAGACTTTTTAAAGAAATTTAGTTTACTTAGTTTGGAAAAATAGAGAGGAGAGATATGATAACAACTTTTCAGTGTGAAAACTTCTTTTATAAAAAGAAAGTAGATCATTTTTCCTCTGTGCTTTTTGAGGATACTTACAGATAAGTGAATTTAATTTAAAAATAAAGCATATTTAAGTTAGATATTGTACTAAACTTTCTAAACACATAGAAAAGTATTTTGGGGAAGCATGCATTACTTCCTTCTCTAGGGAGTTCAGATCAAGCCTAAAACTTTCAGGCCCAGTTTATAAATACCCCTCCTCAGTGTGGGGTGATGGATTAAACCATCTTTTAAAGTCTTCTCCAGTCCAATATTTCCATTATTATTTAATTATGTTATTTCCTTTGTAATTTTCTCTTTCAGCAAACAATTAGGGTAGAAGATTGATCTCAAATGCCTGTAGCACAGCATGGACAACATCCAAAATTAGGTTTTAATAAAATGCAGAATTACCTGAAGAGAATGCCCAGCAGGACTCAAGCTAAATCTAAACGTTTCATTGAACGAAGGCTCTCGGTCATGCCTGCATACCCTGGTTTTCTTCTTAATTACTCTCTTTTGTGTAGAGATATTGACAACGTACAGCTTCACATACAGGTCTGGGGAAGAACAGTTCAATGAGTTAAATACAAAAGTTTAAAAATAATTGTTGTTGCTAATGATTTCAACAGAGAGGCAGTGCTGTGAAGAAATAGAGTATTGTACTTTATAGAGCCACATTCTGTTCTCATTCACATGCTGTAGAAATGGAACTACCCATTAAATCCAAGGCAATTACTTTGTGTTTATAACACTGTCATTAAAGGAACAAATACCTTGATGTCTTTATGTATGTATGAAAATATTATTAACAGGAGTTTTTAAGTTTTAAAAAGCTTCTTCACCAAAATACATTTTTTCACTAGATATAATTTTTCTTAAATAACCAAGGGAGTTATAATGTTTGTTAAAGTTAAAAAAGGATTTTTACCAATCAAATGTAAATTAAAAAGAGGATTAACTTCTGAGACTTAATTTGCTTCTACAAAATGTTTTTACTTTCATTAAAGTTGCTCATAAGAGAAAAAAAGCACTTCAGAAAGAATCCTATAGCATATGTCATTCTGGATAAGAAGGAATTTTCTTTCCCATTTTAGTGGTGATGTTAAATGACTTCAGATACATCCTACTTAATGTTCTCAAAGTACCATGAAGCTGGTTTCTGTGTGATACCTGGTAGATGATCTGGAGATTTAAATTTGTATGTGATATTTCTGCACTGAAGGATTTCTACTATCAGCTGTTCTCCATCTGTCTTCATTTCCTTCTTTAATGCAATCTTGATTTCACCCATAACCTGTGTTTTACCTGGAAAAGCAAAAAAAAGAAACCCTCATTACTGTTAAATGAAACTGAATGTATCTTTCTAACTTGGAAAGAAGTAGAATTTTCTGGGCTTTTTTTTAGTTTCTTTTCTTTCTTTTTTTTTTTTTTTTTTTTTTTTTTTTTTTTTTTTCAGGACAGCTTATAAATTTAGTCTGCAGTAGAAGGATAATGTATTGCTTGGATGAACAAATGGTAGATACATGCAGTACACTTGTATAACTAGATTATATTCTTCAGAATGTATTTACTTCAAAAGAGGTTTTTTCCCAAGAATACAAATTTCTCTAGGATTCATTACAAGTCATGTAATGGTCACTACAATTCGGTTTTCAGAAACCTTTACTACAAGATTCTAAGTTATGTCATTTTAAAAAAAGGAAAGAAAAAGAAAAGGAGAACATCCAATAGAGTGTTAAAAGGTAAGATTTTGAAAGGCAATGAAGTAAGACTTAATCACTATGACCTTTAAAAGTAGAGGTGATTTTCCTTCTTATGTGGGCAGAAGTACAGGCCCGTTATTCCTACATTGAACGAACTGCTCTCTAAATCAGTCCAGAGTCAGAGAGAAGGCACAGAATGAAATGTAAGCAAAGCTGTTTTGCCTTTCCCCTGCCTGTCCTCGCACAAGGCTTTACTGACGCCAGGCAGAGTAGGGCAGGGCTACATCTTCTAAATGAGTGGTGTAAGCTGAGCCCATTGCCTCAGCTCAATGCTGTCTGTAATAACATCATGTCATAACAGGGGTTGTGCTTCTCTAACTATTGTCTTGTTACTGTAAAAGACTATTTCACCTTCCTGTTCTCTTCAGACATTAGCTAAAAAGAAGCCAAACCATTAAGCCTCTGAAGTCTTTATTGCTTAATTTCTGGTGCCAGCAGGCTGGAGTTTTCATGCATTACCAGGAAATGCTAGAATCTGGTGCCAAGATGTTGTAAGGAGCAAAACAATTCTGCAGAAAGTAAACAATTATGAAACATCTGGAGAAGCTTCTCTCTTAAGGAGTAGGAACCTACCAAATAGCATTTAGAGATTACTTACTTGTATCACAAATGTATAACCAAATTTGAATAAGCCCCACTAAAAATATCAGCTGTTGTTTTATATGTCTGTGAGCAACCATATATTTTATTGTTTGTCTTACTTAAAATATTTTTGGGAATCATGAAAAAAAAATAATAGCAAATAATCACAGATACAATCTGGACTCCCAACCCTCCCCACAAACTGAAGCTGAAATTTGACTTAGTTACAGTCAGTAACAAATTTACAATTAGGCTTCATCTGGGTCAGCATTTCACCCATTGTTTGTAAGGTGAGAGAGGACCTGTTAGGAGGCAAGTGATCCTCTCACCATTTTTAATCATCAAAAACCACTTCCTATAAGTTTGAACATGCAATAATAGCATCTTCTTTTCTGCTATGTGTTTGTGCAAAGAGAATGAAGCCCTTGTCTTGTGATGGCAGCAGCAAAGATCATCAGTAGTTGGGATAAAAGAAGGAAAGGCCAACAATATCCATGTTGTTATTCATTAATCTGTTATAATGCCCTTTTACTGGAAAGTGTTGAATGCCCATTCAGTCTAGCTTGGCTAAACTGGATTTTGAATGACTGGAAACAGATAAAAGAAAAAAAATATAATGATTCCTCTGCTCTGTGGATAAACTACCAAAATCACTGACATGCCTGAAAGGTGTTGCGTAAATCTGGCTTTTTGATCAATATTTGTTCTTTCACTGACCCCAATGCTTGATGTTGAAACAAGTCCAGCATGGACAGTCATAGCAGAAATCTAATGTCAGTTTCAGGCAAACTTTGTTTAACGGTAGCCTTTTCTGGAAAATATACTTATCTTATTTACTTTATTCCTTCTCTATCCTTTAAGGTTTATTTGCAACAGTTGCTAGGACCTCCTGTTTCATGATTGCCTTAGCACCTTCTTTTTCATTTAGATGTGCATTCAACCTAAAACTACAATAGGTAGGCTGGATTTTACCTGCTATGCTGTGATCTAGAAAAAGGTACAAATGCTTCCAGTAAATTAGAATGTGTTTGAAAATTCCAGCACCATTTCTCAGCATCTGAAAATTTTCCATGGACTATTCTGTATGACCAGATAGTCTTTACAACAAGCAATGCTGCTTCATTATTCATGTCTCACAGAGAAAAAAATGATCTCCAACTGCGAGTACGTGAAGCATGGTAGCTCTCTTGTGCTTCTATACTAGTTTTCATTTCTCCTACAGCATGCAGTGAAAAAGCCTTAACATCAGCCTTATGAACCATTGCACTGAAACAAATCACTTCAAAACTAGAAGAATTTTGAAGACTCAGAAGAGATTGCCAGTCCTTCTATTGTTAGGGTTTTTTTCACTTCTTTCTCATATATGTTCATTACATTTTCCATTTGACAGTTGTATAAGAATAGAGCAAATGTACATTGTTTTGTGGAGTTGATTCTTTAAATGGAAATAGAGAAACACTGATGAGAGGAAGTGTTATTAATGAACTGCCTATGAGCTGTTGACAGAGTTCACAGTGGGCTGAGATGGACATGAATGTCCTTTGACTGATAGGACAGAAATAAAGTTGCTCAGTGTCATGGAATTGAATGACCCCAAGCATTGCATTGGTAGGAACGGCTCAAAATACAGTGTCCAGTCACAACATTTTGCATTCTTACATAAATTTAGAAAGCATCAATCATAAGTGATATGTGAATGGAACTGATTGTGGGTATTTTTGTACATTGGATAATGATAAGCAAATGCTACAATGCAACTCTGAAAAAAAAGTAAATACAGTGAAAGAGAGATTGCATATCTTTCTAGGAAAGTACTAACAAGGTTTTCTAAGACATCTGAAAATAATTTGTAACTTCAATATTAATTTTTGCCTCAATAAAGATGAATTCCAGGTGAAACAGGTGCAAACCAGAATTACCAGAATGGCAAAGAACCATATAGTAAAGCACTAAAAACATTACTTCCTAATTTCGCCTAGGAAACAAGGACTGGAAAAAGATGAAATTTCATTCTACAAACATATGATAGAATAAATATTGAAAAGAATAAGAAATAATTAAGCTAAACTTGTTTGATATTTTACCTGTTGCATATATATCAAATGCAGATTTACTGATGTATTACTGCAAGAGGACCACAGTTATGCACAGCAGCACTGTGTTCACTTTAGGACCATGTTAAGAGTAGCTAATCTATTCTTAAAAATATATAACTAGAATTAAATACATTGGTGTTTTTTATATGACAGTACACCTCTTTTTAGGGGACTAGATTTATTAAAAATACATTAGCAATCAAATGTTGATGGTTAATTAACTATGTTGTTGCAAGGTATTTGAGAGGTCAAGGGGTTTAAATCTGCAATGGTGATGGCAACATAAACTGTTACTCTTGTAGAACTGTCACACTGCACTGTGAAAGTTTAATTAGTTCTGCTATTAGTCTTCAATGACTGCTGCAGTAAATCACAGGATGTGTCATCTGCACTGTTGTTGTCAACTTCCAGGTACTGATAACTATGGATCGTGGTCCCATTCCTTTCTGATCAGATGCCTGCTGTCAAACAAAATTACCCAAGACAGTAGTAAATAGTTGTCTCCCATTGGTCTGTGTCACCAAGGCTAATTCAGTAATGCATTTAAATTAGCAGGTAAATCTTATTGGACAGTGTCAGGGATTTCACTCAGTTCAATTGTCTAAATGTAAATTCCTGAGCTGATTTACACCTTTATCTTAGAATAATTTAAATTGCTTTCTGAGATTGACTATGTCTATTCACATAGATGAATCAAGTATGAGTATGTTAAGCTTGTATATGATATACCTAAATACTCCTACTCAAAGAGCACCATATTAAAGTAATTTTCTGAATGGATGCCAAGTGGCCAGAAGACAGACTTAAGAAAATACATGAATTGGAATTTTGTCCCATGGTTGTGTATAAGTTATTATGGGCTCCTTCTGTTCCAGAAGAGTGACTGGGGGTATTAGAACAGTGGAATTAGAAATAAAATAGGAAGAGGGGAGGGGGCGAAATAAACATTGACAATAATTTCCCAACACTTTTATTTCCAAATGAAGTTTATAACAGAATTATTGTTTCCAGAATCGGTAGTACATGTTCTTCTGGAGCTTCAAGAGTGATACACCTTATGGTCAAGGATTTGAGATCACAGAAAGGTCTGTCTGAGCAGCTTCCAGTGAGCCTGGCCTACTGAGTGAAGGAATGTTAATTTTGGGTTGTGGTGGTGATCTTTTTTTTTTTTTTTTTTTAATTCCTTACAATCCAAATAATCCTCTTACTACTCAGTCAAAGAACTCAGATGCTGGAAAAAAATAAGCAGGAGAAAACAAACAAAAAACCCCAACTACCAAAAAAACCCCAAAACCCCCAGCTTTACTTTCCTACACTTTGTGGCTATGGATTGTATCCATCACATAGTCCTACATGATGGATAAGGACTAGCATGCCTAGGGGAAGGAACATAGACCCATAATTTGTTTTAACAGGATTTATCCTCCTTTTTTACCTCTTGTGTGTGCCCAGAGATATGGCTGCATTTTAAGAAGCATATACACTCTTTCAGGATTTATTTCTACACTTTCTGATTATGAATACTCATGTTACTTCCACTTTTCTGAAAGCACCCATTCCAGAGAGAAATCCCAGTTCTTCAAATGTTGCTGCAGAACAATAGCTTGCTCTACTGCTGCAGACAAGCCCCCTTTAAAGAAGACCAGGCACATCCACACTGCTTTGCCATTAGCCCTATGTCTTCAGACCCCCATCTTGTTGCCTTTTGGCAAGAACACAAAATTCATTATTTTTGTGATATTTTGTGGAAAAAAAGACTGAGAAAAATAGAGTTGTCTTATTGTAGCATGTTGATGTTGGTATATATATGATGCTGCCCTGGGGGATGGCAAGGGAGAACATTGGAGCATTTGGTGGTGCAGGG